TGAATTAAGTGTTGAAATTTGGAAGGTGCCAACTAACTTCACTTCTCTCCCTTCAAGATTCCAAATCAACTGAGAAATAGACATTGAGGTCAGATATGGATCAAAACATCTGCTCTTATTACTGGTAAAGGTGGACTGGAGAATGGGGTCAATTTGGCTTTCTACTTTTTCTTTTTAAATATCTAGTCTTTGGGACCCACCTACAGAGAGAGCTGGGTCTGAGGTACAGACACACATTCTGCTGCCTTGTGTAAGTCGGATTATAGCTTGCCTCTGCCATGAAGAGACATTTAGTCATATCAGCGGAAGCAGAGAGAACAGAGAACCTGCAGCCCACGGACAGTCAGGGTCTGTAGAGAGGGCCCTTGAGGCTTCCCCACGGTGGCCACTTCTCCTAATCTCACCAACTGGGTGACACAGTCCCCCTCACTCCTACAGGGAAGAGAAAGGAGGAGGAGACATGGGTGACAGCACCTTCTTCAACATTTCTGAGAGAGTAGACTTCCCTAACTTGTGGGCCTACAAGAAAATAGGGAGGAATAAAAATGAATCTCTTATATGAAGTAAACCTTTAGGATAAAACAATGCTATGAAATAGTTAACATAAAATGGGTTAGTCCTCTTCCAATACTGTCCTAAGGGTTTCATCACGTTCACAACACACATGCTATAAAATTTTCTCTAATATGTAAATATACATAGTTTAAGTCACACAGCCTTACTTTATTAAAATACATTATTAAAGAACATCATCAAGAAAGTGAAAAGACCATCTACAGAATGGGAGAAAATATTTGTAAATCCTTATCTGATAAGGAATTAATATCCAGACTATATAAAGAACTGTAACTCAAAAAAAAAACCCTCAATTTAAAAATGGGCAAATGACTTGAATAGACATTTCTCCAAAGAAGATATATAACTGTCCAATAAGCACATGAAAAGATGTTTAACATCATTAGTTATCAGAGAAATACAAATCAAAACCACCATGAGATACCACTTCACATCTAATAGAATGGCTATAATTAAACACACACAAACACACACACGCACACACACACAGAGAGAGAGAGAGAGGGGAAAGAGATAGAGAGAAAAAAAAGTTTAGCAAGGATGTGGAGAAACTGGGACAACTGAACATTGCCAGGGGGCATACAATGGCACAGCTGCTGTGAAACACATTTTGGTGTTTCCTCAAAGAGTTAGCATAGAAATACTCTATGATCCAGCAATCCACTCCTAGGTATATACCCAAAAGAACTGAAAACAGGTACTGAAACAGATACTTGTACACCAATGTTCACTGCAGCATTATTTACAATACCTGGAAAGTAGAAATAACCTACGTATCCATGGACAAATGAATGAATAGATGAAATGTGGTATATCCATATAGTTGAATATTCATGCATAAAAAGGAATGAACTTCTGATATATGCTACAACATGGATGAACCTTGAGAACATCATATGCTAAGTGAAATAAGCCAGACACAAAAGGACAAATATTATATGATTCTATTTACATGAAGTACCTAAAACAGACAAATTCACAAGGGCAGAAAGTAGATTAGAGGTAACTGGGGAAGGGAGGAACGGGAGATATTGCTTAATAGGTGCAGACTTTCTGTTTGGAGTGATGAAAAAGTTTGGGAAGTTGATAGTTGTGATGGTTGCACAACATTGTGAATGTAATTATCACTGAATTGTACACTTAAGAATGGTTAAAATTGCAAATTTCTATTACATATATTTTACTATAATGAATTTTTAAATAATGCATTCATAGTAAATACTCCAGTTTATAGCAGAAATCCATACTATCTCTTATTTAAGGAATAAGTTTTAGTAAGACTTTAAACTTTACTACTAATATATTTTAACTCTTCATTTTTAAGTAAACAGAATGCTAATATCATATATTTACAAATATAGGAACCAGGGTCCAGAGGTTTTCTTGGCTCTTATAGTCGTAATTCCTCCAGACAAATAGCAATTGTAGTTACTTGCAGGACTGATGCTGAGGGGAAGAAAGCTTCAGCAACATCTCTAAAGTATCTCTAACCCTTCTTTTCCTCCTTGAACCACCTGAGGATGCAGTGTCCACAGTGGCCACAAACAGCGCATAGCCTGCTTACATCTCCCTCTCCCATTTCCTGAATTTCTTCTTTCTCACTAGAAATAATCAAAATGGTTTGGGAATCTAGATGCCTTTAGGGAATAAATGTTTTTCCCACATGACTATGTTTTCCCCACATGACTATGTTTTCCCCTCTGAAAATAGGGAAATATTTTTTCTTTGGGTACTCCACTGGAATGGTTAAGTACACTGCTGAAAGGAAAATAAGATCTCCAGGGTATAGACATTACCAACATTAGAAACACTCATAAAAATTCTGTGTTTCCAGAATTTTTGCTTTTAGTCTAAATTATTAGGGTTTGAGATAATTTTCAATGGAAGGCAGAAAATAGCTTTTCTATCAAATTAAAATCCAAACTTCTCTGATATATTAATTACTAACAAAATAATTACACTACTTTTTCTGTTAAAGTCAGCAAGAACTTCCATAAATCATTGCATTTCTCCTCCAGACTTCCTACTTAGGTATCTAAGGGTATCTGTTATTATCATAATTTTTCCAATAAAGACCTTGAGAGCAGAGAGGCTAACTGCTGTTCCCAAAGCAAAGTGGACTCAGCACAGAACCATTACACACACCCACCACTCCTAACAGTATATTCTTCTTTATAATTAGAACAAATCCCAAGGTCCTGTGCAGAGGAAAAGGACTGGAATGAACATTAAATATTAAATATTATTGGCTTACTGAACTAATAATGTTCCTATCATTCAAAAAGCACATGTTAAAACTAACTTGGATACAATTTTCTGCTATAGGTTAAGACTGTACCTATCCTAACAGCAATAATAACTAAGTAAATTGATTAAATGAGTCATCTACCCATTTGCAACATAGAATTCACATTTTTCTTATTTTAAAAACTCTTTGTAAGCAAATCTGAAACAGACTTCAGACTCCTTTTTTTTTTAAACTAATACTACTGGGAGATGATACTACTACTTAAAATTTCTTGGGAAAAGAGGCTGGTTTGATAGGGTGGTTGGGACTAGGGAGGGTAAGGAAGATGGACATTAAGTGGTCATGGGTAAAGGCTTATGTGAAGCCAGAAGGCTTTTTACTTGAGACCTCGTGTTCTTAGACCCACATGCAGAGAGGGAGAGTGGTCTCCCTATTCCACTGCACATTATGGTAAGATCCACAATAGAAAGTAACCTTTGATTCATCCTCTCCCAATCATTTTCACAGATAATAAGCCTGAAGTCCAGAAGGCTAGTTCACAGCCAGAAGATGGGCATAAAAGGACAAGACTTTACAACAGAGAACTACAAGCACCTTCTGAAGATGGATACTGTTAAGTGGAAAACCCTTTTCCAGCTGAGCTCCTGCATGGATTTAGGTGTGCACATTAGAGCATAGTTGTTGAGAGATGAACTCCTCTGCTCAAGAAAGAATTCTCCCTGGAGTTGTGGGCCTGGACAAGGATAGGGCTGTGGGGAAAAGAGGTAGCCTGAGAGAGCCAGACTGCTGTGAGTTTCCCCACCACCCACAGTTCATCAGTGGACCTGGAAGCACTGGCTGAAATTTCTTCAACTCCTCAGTCTGATTTACCCATTTACTTTTACAACAGTCCAATCAGAAAACCACTATTGGTATATGTCAGATGCAGATCAGATCTGCCTCTAAATCTAGGAAGCAAGTGTAAATTCCAGCCTAGAAGTTCAGAGGAGCCAGCAATATTAAAGGACTGAAAACACAGAACATCTAGTCATTGCAGGCTTCTGAATCGAACTTCTTTGATCTTAGTGATGACATTCATTTGCCTACGAGGGTTATTACTCACAAGGTTGGCTGCAGCACAGGGCTCCCTTCTCAGAAGGGGAAACTACCTGGGGTTTATTCTTTACCTTTCACTGTCTTGAAATTCTTCACAATTTTATCTTTGAACGTGTGTTTTATAAGTGAAGTCCAATAGGACAACAGAGGAAGTGCTGTGGGATGGGAATCTCATCTCACTTGTGGTCCTGCCTCCGGAGGAGAGAATCTCTTGGCTATCCTATCTGCCCCTGTGCCCCTGCTCAGTGACCTCCGTCATCTTCCCTGGCAGGGGTCAGGGCACAGCCTGGGACAGGTTGGGGTCAGGCCCACACCCTGTGCACTGAGCTGTGGCTGAGGCTCAGCACCTATGAGCAGCTGCACTCACCCACACATATGGCCATGCCTGAAGGAGCTAGACACCAAAAAGCATATTAAAAAACAAAAACAAAAAACACCATGATAGGTCAAGAAAAAGCTTTTTCCTGCTTTTTGAGCAGGGAGCCCCACATTTTCACTTTGCGCTGGGTCTCCTGTCCCTGATGAGATACCTTATCTGGCAATCTCAAACCAACATTGTTTTCAGATTCTTAACTAAATAACCACAACATATATGTAATAATAACTCTGTTTACTAAAGATATTCTTTGGTTTCACAAACTCTTAACATTAAATATAAAATCAGATCTTTTCAACAGTTCAACAGAGGAAAAAAGCCTCTGTATTATTTTTGCTGGCAGGTATAATTAACAATAGAAAGTTTGGATCTGTAGCTGTGGCTTGACAGTATAATGCATTAAAATGGAAAAATTATGGTTTTTTTTTCACTGAGGCAGCCGGAAAAAGAAACTACTTATTTCTCCACAATGAAAATATTATCACTCCATATATTCTATCACATTGGAGAAAGTTAAAAAAAAATCTTGTTACTTCTCTCCAATGCTGGTGTTTGCTCATAAATAACTGTAGTGTTTTTCCATTATCTCTCTGGCACTATGTTAAAATGGCCATAGGCCAGTGACACCAGGGGAGTCGACGGGAAGTGTAAGAAACAGCTTTTAGTTTTTAAATTTCGTATCTGCTTCATTTCTGAATATCTTACCTTGAGCTTGGCCAAAAGAAGTTCATGATCATGAAGAAGTTTTTTGGTTTCATCTTGACTGCTTCCAATTTCTAAAAGATTGGGCTGTGATTCAGCCAACTGCAGTCGTATCCATTTGCCACACTAAAAATAAAAATGAAATAAAATGCACTTTTAGTTCCTCTTGTTCTTTCCCCTTCTCCTTTTCCTTAGTTTCCAGTTAGGCCTTACTTAAATTGCAATAGAACAGTTTTAATATAAATCCATGCCCTGCCTTTTTTTTTTACTTTTTGGGGGGATAAATTCTTTTCTCTTAGCCTATTGGATTTAAATTAAAAATTCCCAAATGAGGAATATGTACAACAGATTATGTATTATCAAGTAGCACAAAGTTATTGAATAATTCATACAATTTTACATTCTTCCACTCACAAAACCAAATTCTACAAAAATCATGACTTGGACAAGTAGGGTGTAAGCTTCACCAAAGGGGAAAGGCTTCATAAATGCAATGTAGGCTGATTAGTGTTTTCACACTGACCTTGCTCAATCAACCAGAAAGAATTATCAGCAGACAAAGCACCTGATTTTTCGCTTACTTTCAAGTTAAAACGTAATTATTTTTCAAATTTTGTTGTTGAATAAAGCATGTACAAAAATGTCAGTGAAATTCATTGTATGATTACTGCCATTTGAATGCAGCCAACTTGTTTTCCACACCCAGACCCTTTAACTGCTCCAAGATATAGTTCATCATTGCATTTCCTAAGGAACTGTTTTTCTAAGAAGCAACAACTGTAATGCAAGGGGAAACACCACTGGGCAAGTACGTGTGGCTATGTGAATTACTAAAGAGAAATGAGAAAACCACACGTCTATTCTCAATCACTGGTGCCCTGAGGCCGTGTGGAAACAATAAGCCCATACAGATCAGACACAGGTACTTCTATTCCTTTCAGATGGACTTTCCACTTTGAGTAGCTTGAGTTTATTTCATATGTGATGGCAATGAATTAAGGGAGCAGGGGAGGGAGGACAGAGAGCATATTCGTAGAAACACACTTAAAATAAGAGTTTGTAGTATAATTTGAGATTTTTTTTCTTACTGGAAATTAACCTCTGATTCTTTTATCATTTACACACATTCTTCCTCATCCCACTCTAAGAAATGTTCCATATTTGAGGGGAAAGAAGTTTAAAGAAAAAAACAACAGTAAGTCAGCCTCTTTTTCCTCACTGCTGAAATTTGCAATTACTCAAAGATTCATAAAATCACATGCAAATTATCCATTTTTGCTACTTTTGCTTCAGGCTTCTTTCCATGTCCACTCATTGCCTTTGAAAATAACAGAGGTCAAGGAATCAGCAGAGGCCCTGTTTACGTGGGGCCAAGACTCATGAGTCCTGGGGACTCGGCCTTGGTAGGAACACTTTGCATTCAGTGCTTCTAGACTGAATTGTTCTGCTGAGTGTCAAGTTCTGCTTTCCTGTTACAAATTTTCACATTAACATTAAGATTCACAGCAATTAAGTGTAATTAAATAGGACTTGTCCATGCTTCTTACAAAAGACCAGAAAAATCTTTCAGTTAAGCCCGGGGGTGTAGGGTGGTCCTGAAAGTAACGGGTGGGGAGCACCAGCTTGTTTGCTGGAGTCCCTTCATCAAACACTGAATTCTTCACGTGGGGAGTCGTCTAAATCCAAACACAATGCCTCAGGGATTTTTGCAAGATACCCTCATAGGAAATAAAATCATGGACCCTTCTTCAAGCTAAGGATGTATGGTCATCTTTGCAAAAGGGCAAACTTCTTGACACAAAACATGCTAAAATCTTTAAGCCCCAAGTGGATTTAACTTCCTGCTGTTAAAAGCAAATTTGACACATGCCCTTTGCACTTTTGCTGGCAACCCTGTTCATTGCCCCAACAACGTGACAAGGATTTATTAGTGCCTTTACCATGTCAAAACCAATGCTGCAGAGGGCACGTGTCGCAGCGTCTTATTAGGTATTCCCTGCGCTCCGTCATGCTCAAAACAATGCCACCCCTTATCTGCTGGGACCCTCTTTCCCTCCATCACACCTACTCTCAAAAATCATAAACGTTTCACAGGTTCACCGGACTTTTCAGCCTGGCAATCATGAACTTGTAATCACAAATACTTTATCTTTAAAAACCAAACTGAAAGTATATGGTAGAGATTTTTGTTGCTTTTTTAAAAAAATCAAGCTGTTGTAGATGTTTTCTGACTAACTGAAAGAGAAACTCTAGTAACTGGCTGAAACTTAGCTGCTGATTTAAGAAAGCAGTAAGATGTACTTGCTGGGTTATTCTCTACATGTTGTGTACTGCCAACTGTGTGGAATGTTCTTTAGAATTAGCCACACATGGCAAGAAGCCCATAGCTCCCCAAAAGAAAGGAAGTTGTTAGCTTACCTTTATGACAGCTATAACGATTTTGGAGTCTCCAGCCTGCACAGCTACTGAACTGACTGTTGTCGTAGAAAACTCCACACCAGGACTTCCTTGGCTGGACATGGTACGTTAGAACCAGAGTTTATACTTCGGGCAGCCTCTGTATAGATGTGTGTCTGCTGGTCATTTCAGAAAGCAACCACTGGGGTTATTTGGATTCATTCAGGGAAAGAGCTCTGCTCATACTGATTATGCTGCCAAAAGGAAAGAACAGGAGGTTAAAAATAGACAACCCCATTGAGTTTATCATGAGAGAGAGAGGAAAGAATGGGAAAGAATCGCCACACCCCTAGTATGGTAACACTGAGCGCCTGTTATTTTGGCCATTATCTTAAATGCAGAGAGCAGCGTCTAGCTCTCTGCCTATTAGCTGATGTTTGATAGCAAATGGAAAAAGAATTACATACTGACAAACCAAATTACTTCTGCCATTGAATCTATACAGTTATGATGGACTGAAACCAGCCAGGCATTAACCTGGGTATCAATCTTTTTCAGATTCATAAAGTCTCCTTTATGCAAAGAAAACTTCCAAAAATGTACTTTAAAAATAAGTTATGGTATTTGTTTACAGATTAAGCCACAAATTTGTTTGAAATACATTTTTAGATTAATCTGTTTTTCTAAAACTCACTGCCTTTTGTCAAATGAAGTTTATATGAAATGGTCACATTGTCTCAGAGCCTCAGATTTCTTGGGGACATTTAAAAAATATTTCAGTGAGCATTTATCAATAGGTATCTACCATTTCAGGATTTCTTTGTGACCATCTACTCCACTGAACAGTGTTTTCAAGTTTGGTGATCACAGCTACTAGGAAGTGACATACTTTGCTGTTACCTTTTAATTGCACCAAGAAAATGTTTTGGGTTTTGGGGTTTTTTTGTTTTGTTTGTTTTTATTAAAGGTTAACACTGTATATTTTGCTATACTTCCTACAAAAGGGTAACATTGTACTTCAGGTTTGGTTTTTATTCTCCCCCCACATCCTGTGCAGGAAAATTATAGACAGCTTAAATCAGAGCCCAAGATCAGCATATTAATCCTATTACTAGAAACTCAGTGTGTGTCACAAGTTGTCTGTGGTATTAAACAGCAGCTGTTGGATTCCCTGTCAAGCAACAGCTGAAAATAACACTGAAGCTTAGGTCAGAGGTCAGATGCAAACACATCAAAGATACTGATTCCAGAGCTGCTGGAGCCATCGGAAATCTCTGGCACAAAGCCAGAATGGAGGAGACAGCAAGGATATAGCAATAAACAGAGTTAAATGAGTCCATTCGCTGTTTAAACCCTTAGCTTAATTTAAAAACACGAACAGGTTCAGGGCCAACATTCAGAAGACTGAGTTAGTACCACTGCTTTTTCTGCTAAGCTTCATGATGATATTCTTGAATCAAAGTAGGAAAAGTGCTCTTACATATACTTTGGTGTTCAGCAATTATTTCTGTTTCCCAGAGCATATCTTGGCTGCTCTGCAATTATGTAGCTATCCCAGGTCTCCTGCTGCTCCAGCAAAAGAAAACCACCCTGGATCCCAGTTCCCAGCTCCACAAACTTTACCTGAGGCCATGAAGGGAGCATTTGGAGCAAGCTTAGGAGAGCAGATGCCAAGAGATGCCACGATGTAGAAATACTGTAAATGGTTTCACTTTACAGCAGGGAGGGGGAGTTTGCAGAGGACCAACCCAACCTCTTTGTTGGGGTTGCCTCAGTGTTGAAGGTTGTTTCCTCCTGAAAATAGATGGTTCAAACAAACTGAAACTGAGCAAGACCAGTTTTCAGCTAACTGCCCTCAGGAGAAACCAAGAGTTGATAACTATGTCACATAATTTCCACACCCTAAACTAAAATGCTCAAAGTAGCCTTGCTTAAGCCATTGTGTACATTGCCAACAAGAACAGCAAATAGTGACCCACACCCAAAATACACAGTGGACTTTCACCTAAAGTTAATCCTACTGTTAGAAACTCAGTTTGTGTCACTAGTTGCATAAAGGCTCTCAGGAGGCAAAGGGAGCTTTTGGCAGCAGGCTGTCCCAACCACGGCTAGAAGAGAGCGGTTATGTCCACAAAGCCCCACTTAAGATGGATGATTGTGTAAAGGGTGTGGAGAGCAGTGTGGAATGTGTGGAGTCAGGCTCACATGAAGGGAAAAGAAGGAGAGAGGTGGTGAGGAGAAAGAACATGGCTGAAACTCTGATTAACTCCAAGGCTTAAGGGCCAAAGGAATTAGAAATACTTAAGACTTTGTTAAAAGATTAATCCAGTAATTCAGCAGCAGAGGTAGTGCCTTTCTGTGTATTGACAACTTTTCTTTCTATTAACGAGATGAAGCAGGCAAGTGTTGCATGGAAAATGTTTTCTGCGTTGGTGGACATGAGCAATAATGCAAACTGCATACATGAACTTAAGTGGTTTCTAACTAATTTTTTTAAAAATTCAAATTCTTGACTTTAAAATCTTCAAAAGACTTGAATCACTTTTTTCTCTCCTTCCCTTGCTTTCTACATCTCTTCTCTTCAACTTTTTAGTCCTTTTCCCTTCAGAAGCTCTGTGGTTCAGACCACTCCATCCACATCTAGCTCTTTTAGAACCTTGGCTTATGTCTCTTCATCTAGTATAGCTATTAAATTATAAATTTCATTATTAACTCTGGGAAACAGTTTGGAGGACAGTAAGTATAAAATATATTGTGCTAAAGAAATTGCTACACTATAATTAGATGGATTTTTTTAAAGCTTTCTGAGCCACAGTTTGTTTATACTCTGCCTCCCCTATCATCACACACACACACACACACACACAATAAAACAAAACAAAACAAAAAAAGCTCACAGGCATTCTCATATTCTTTGAAGTTTATAGAAGATCTTGCAGAGGTTATTATGCCTTCTCTGTTTATCCCTCTGGGAAATGCCTGTTTTTATACTAGCTGAATTTTAGTGAAAAATCCTCCATGGGGAATCAAAAGCTATAACTGGATTCTGTAGAGTTGCAAATAGCACACCCCCCTCATCCAATTTTTCTTTTATTATGGTACAACCAGAAAACAAATTTACTAGCTTAACTATTTTTAAGTGTACAGGTCAGAGTTATTAAATACATTCATCTCCATAAGCCTTTTAATCTTGTAAAACCGAAACTCTATACACATTAAACAGTAATTCCATTCCCTCCTCCCTCAAACCTCTGGCAGCCACCATTCTACTTTCCATCTCTGTGATGCTGATTACTGTAAGTACCTCATGTAAGTAGAATCATATAGTATTTGTCTTTTTTTGACTGACTGACTTTACTTAGCACAATGTCCTCAAGATTCATCCATATTGTAGCATATCAGAATTTCCTTTCCTTTTAAGGTCAAATAACATTTCATTGTGTATATATTCTACATTTTGCTTATCCATTCATCCACTGATGGACACTTGAGTGGTTTCCACCTTTATCTATTACAAATAATGCTACTGTAAACATAGGTGTACAAATTATCTCTTTGAGACCCTGCTTTCAGTTCTTTTTGGTCTATACCCAGAAATGGAATTAGGGGATCACATGGTAATTCTACTTTTCAATTTTTTGAGGAAATACCACACTGCTTTCCACAGTGACACATAGCACATTTTCATGAAATATAGGTAGCTGACAGCATGGAAACTTTATCATGTGATTATTTTTTTTTAACTCTGAATATGGGTGTATCATTAAAACAACATTTTTTTTTTTTGCTGGAATATGTGTGGAGTCTGTTCATTTTTTCATCGTGAGTGTTTGTCTTAATCAATACTATTACTGATTAAATTGTATTCAACTTTATACAGACAAATTAGATAGATGGGATATAAATAACCCAGAATAAGTCTATTTATCCAGGTTAAAACTCAAGGCAAATTTTGCCAGATACATAATAATAGTAGTTAGTAATAGTAGCTGTCATAATATCAGCTACCACTTAGCTAATTATGTGCCAGGAACGGGGATAAGTGCTTTACAATCTTTATTGCATTTAATTCACATAATTAAGTGACTGGAAAGACTTATTTTTCTGGCTTTGTAAATCACACACATGCATACACACACAAGCACACGGTCACACACAGTGATTCACTGATTCCAGCCACCTCAGGTCTAGCCTTTCCCACCTGAGTTTCAAAGCTGTCTATGATCTGGTCCCTCCTACCTGCCTAATGACATACACCATTATTCCCAAGCCCCAAAGATCATCTACCTAAATTCAGTTGTCCTATCCACAAAAATCATCCTCTTCTTCCCTTCATCTATCCAAATTCCTCCCATCACTTAAGACCAAGATAAGGTATCAACTCCTTTTAAAAGCTGAAATATCTATTTATATTCCCCCTCCTCAAAATTTAATTGTAACTCACAGTTTAACAATTATATGCTTGTATTATCAACTTGTATTGTTTTCTAATTATTTCACTTCCATTGGTATTATTTCTTAACTAGATTTAAAGCTCCTTACATAAAGAGTCACGTGTTAACGTTTTTTCTTTTTTGGGAGGGGGATCTTTGCAGACCTCCTCAAAGAACTATTGTAGAAACTGAAAGAGTTTCTTTACATAAAGGGCTTAGAAGAGGATCTGACATTTAGCAAATGCTCTCTATATACATACATGGAGCACAATACTAGGCACAGAATTGATGCTTATAAATATTGGCAGACTGACTGAATCACATCAGTCATACAGGAAAAAAAGACAGTTTTAATACAACTCATTCATTCATTATTTATTCATGCAACCAATAGTTATGAGCATTTGCTACATACCAGCACTTGCACATTAGTAATACAGTAGCCAGCAAAACAGAGGTCTCTACTTTCAAAAAGATGGCATTCCAGTGAAAAAGACCATAACTGTGAAATACATAACCAAGACAGAAATCCACAGTGATAAAAAGCTAACGGAAAGACAACAGATAGTGGTTAAGTAGACTGAATCACCAAAGATAACATTTAGAATTTGCCAGAGAAATCAAGGGATACTTTCAGGGTATGTCTATTGGAATACAGAGATTAACAGGAACAATAAACTGAGAGTGATCCCAAAACAACAACAACAACAAAATACAATTTGGCAAAGGCAGCAACTTAGGGGCTCTGAAGTCAGACTGTTTTAACCCTCTGTGCCTCAGTTTCCTCAATGCAAACTGAAGATAATAGGAGTATCCACATCATATAGGTTTGCTGGGAGGATTAAATAAAATAACATTTGTAAAACATTTAATGCCTGGTACATAGGTGGTGTTCTAATAGTTACACATTATTACTTCTAATACAACATCTGTTAAGGGATTTTCTAAATCTAGTAACTGCCACAAAATTTGAATTAAATTTTAAAAAATAAGTTGAACTACATCATTTGGTAGGCAACCCAGATGGATTAAATATATTAGAAAGACATAAAATATGCATTACCAGGGAGGAAATTATTTCAATATAATTAGGTGGTTAAAACATTTCACTGTAAAACAGTATATCTAGAATGTCATCTTTAGACAAAATTTCCTTAACTAATTCTTTGTATCATGTAATACTCTTCCTGGTGCTTCTCATTTATTTCTTAGATTACAAGCATTGTCACTTAATGAACATCCATAAGTAAATTGAAGTTGCTCTTTCCTCTTAAAACAGCCTCCATTCTAGCCATAAACTTATTCTTCTATGTCAGTGCTCATTTGTTCATTCACTGAGTATGATTACATATCTGCTAGGTGCCAAGGACTGTTCTAGATGCCAGGCACACAGCAATAAATGAAACAAAGTATGTCCACTGATGGAGCTTACCTTCTGGTGGGGGAGACATAACCAATTTAGGAATTGAATAAGCAAAAAATATCTAATTATGTCAGGATGTTATAAGTGTTATGAAGAAAAACAAGGCAGGGTAAGAAGGTAAGGGTCAACAGGGGAAGAGGGACACTACCTCAGGAAGGAGTCAGGAAAGTTCTCCTGAACAGATGAGATTTGAGTAGAGACCAGGATTAAGTTGAAAAGAGCAAGACATGCAGATATCTCAGGGAAGAACACTCTAGGCGGCTGGACATGCTTGTTAGAAAAACATCCAGTAGGTCAGTGTGGCTGGAGCTAAGTGAGGATTGAGGGAAGAGGACACTGATAGAACATGAGATCTGCCAAGCAGAACCCTGGCTTGCTTGGGACAATCAGAGGTGACACATGTTGCCCTGGCATAACTACTTGTAAAGGCCCCTTTCACTCTTGAAAGAGTCCTGTTTGGATGCTAAGTTACACGGTAACCCTGCTCTTACACCACGGTAAGGAGTCTGGAATTCATTCTAAGTGAGATGGGACATTATTGTAAGGTTCTCATCCAAGGAATAACATCATTTGACTTAACATTGTTAAAGAAACCCTCCATGGAGAAGAGACTGTAGGAGTCAAATGAAAGCAAGAGGTAGGATGAATTCCATAGCACCCAAAGCACAGATGTCAATACAGCGTCCCTTTGGGACGTTTCTTTATAGATACTTATGTTTCACTTAAGAAATATCATGACTCGTAACAGTTTTACACTCTCTGTTCATTGACTTCCATAGATTTCCTTACAATTACGTGTGTTTAATGACATATAAATCCTTAGCCTCTCCGTAAGAACTGGGAGAATAATTATAAACAAGCAACTTTAATATACAGCAAATTTCCCTCCTCTAAGTGGTAAGAAAAACAAGGCAAAAGAAAACTGGGGAAAGTTCAAAGGATACTTAGCTTGGTGAAAGATCAAAGATGGTTGTATTTATTATAATTTTAAGCCATTACCAAAAATGATGAGTGCAATGATATCAATATTTGTTCAGTGATAATGTACATCTTTTCCTAAAATTCTCTATTTAGAGCAATGAAATCTAGAAAACTGTCAAATATTTGTGTAGGCTTTAGTTAAAATAAATAGCAAATATGTGGCTATTATTGGTTTGAGAAAACTTTTTTCTGAATGGGAGAGAGGTATGCAACACTTCAAGCCAGGAAAGATTTTTTTTTCCTAAATCACTGAAAAGCTTCCATGTGCAAAGTTTATTTTTAAAATTTAAACTCACCAGACTTCCTAGCTGTGTTGAGCTGAGCACCCAGGCTTCAATGTAGCAGGGTTCTCCCTCTGATACAATTCCTGTTACCATAAAGAAGTATCCTGAGAGTAAACCTTCAGGGAGGGTGAGTACATAAGAGGACAGGAGTCTTAGCTAACTTGATTTTGGAAAATTACACTTCTTTTGGTTTTCCTTACTGTTGCTAAACTCCAGTTGAGGCTGAGAATTTCCATCCCAGAGTAATCTCTGGGGAGGCCTTGAGAGCAGCAGTCCTTCTAGCTGCTAGGAAACCCAGCAGTGACACTGAGGGTGAGCTGTCACTTCTCTCTGCAGCCAAAATTTTTGCCAAGAAAAGAAAAATAATACAAAACTAAGCATAAGAATCAGATACTCTAAATAGAAAGATGGATTCTAAGCAGGAAATATGTAAAGAGTTAAAAAGAGAATGGTTTTTTTTATATAATGTTTTATTATGAAACACTAAGACATAAAAAAGTTAAAGTATATGTATATATTTTATAAATGCATAATATACATATGTGTGCAGATGATCATGTTACATGTATTAAGACTCTTTTAGTGTTATAATGGGCTTTCTCAGTTGTATGAGGTGATGTTTACTGGCATTAGTTTAATGACAAAGCCAATTTTAACAGAATTCTACTGTAGATTATATTTTTTAACTGACTCTGTAAAAATTTGCTGTATGTTTTTTGAGATCCACATCCCAGTAAGAACATCTTACACCAGTGTTCCTACAGAAGCCCCTTGCTATCATAATCTCCGTTTTTGGTAATACATCACTCACCCCAGTCGCAGAACCCACATGAAAGGCAATGATTGCTGAGAATGTCCGGAAGGATGAAGAAGTTACTAACACCTGCAGGAAAAAGATATTCATATACTCAGGCTTTTAGGAAAAACAGGAAACAAGATGAGAGAAACACAAAAACCTGGAAATCAAAAATGGAAACAAAAGTAGCAGGTCATTTGCACCCCACCCCACACAACTCATACCACTCTAAGCAAACCAGTTTCCTATCACAATTTCCACCCTAACAAAGGATGGACTTCAAAAGCAAAGTCAATTTACTTTTTGTCATTATGCTCTGGCATGTCTCTGCCTTAAGCTCCTGCTATCAGGGTAAATTGACAGTCTCACCACTAATGTTTGTTGCGTACCTGCTGTGCATAGGCCCTTGTTTCCTTTATCAGTCCCATCCTCATTAAATCCCTTAGATTTGTAAAATTTATAACCAATTAACCTGGTTGAACCTCTCAACAACCTTGTATAGTTGGCCCTTCATATCTGAAGATTTTACATAAGGGACTTGGGCATCTGCAGATTTTAGTATCCACAGGAGGTCCTGGAACCAATCCTCCATGGATACTGAGGGATAACTGTACTTGAATCAGGGCAGAATGGTTCATTCTGTCATACTGGAGAACTGAGGCAAGAGAAATTAAGTGGTTTATTCAAGTTCATGAAGCTAGTGAGTCGAGAACCCAGCCACTTCCCTCTTAGTCTTTTGCTCTAATGCCATAGGGAGTAGGTTCTTCTATCCTAATGTTAGATAAAAAATTATACAGATGTCCATACAAACCCATCACTCAATTAGCCTGCACAGGTTGAGCACTTCCTGGACAGAGCTCTCTGAATCGGAACACTATATGAAGCATCATTAAAAGGCAACAACACAAATACAAAACTATAACTCTGTTCTCAGCTTTCTCCATTAGAAAAAACAGATACACACACTAAGCAATTTGGCAAGAAAGCTTTATAATATAGAAAATATACCAAACTAAAATGCCCTGGAAAATGAGAAGAAACCATTTAAAGAACTTCCCAAATCAATGTGAGCAATCATAATACAGAACAGTTTTATACATGGATGTAAATTATTACTATATTAATATATAAACAAAACTGCTTTGGGTGTGCTTTCACAGCACTTCCTTTTTTTGGTTAAAATGACATCACATTATTAAGAATTTATCACACAGAAGAATGGAAATCAATTTTTCTAGTAACATTCACTGTAGGATTGTTTAGTGATTTGTATAATCATTTGTATGAATTATTGCATTGATACTCATCTTTTCCTGTATTTAAAACATGAAAGTATTTGCTTAACAAATGTCCATTTAAAATTTATTTTATGTTCTTTTAATTTCTCAGGTTCTTAACTGTATTTTACGAATTTCTCCATAGTTCATACAGGTAAGTGTAAATATAAATAATTAAAATAAGATACGTGATTTCCATTTTTCCATGTATCTCTCGGTATTTAAGAAAAAATCCATGAGGAGAGAAATAGCTATAACTAGCATTCATTTTGAAATTTACTAGTACATTGAATATTCAGCCTATCTTTACTTGCTTTTTCACTGGATTATTTTATATATGTATACACATACACACATATACATACATACATACATACATACATACATACATACATACATACATACATAAATATAATACAGATAAAAGGTAGAGGAATATAGGACCATGTTTAAAGCTTGGGGACGTCCTGACTATCTTAATCCACTAATCTTGGCCTTTTCACTAGTTTTTCAGATCATATGTTAATGTCACATTTTCCAACCTTCTTTAAACTACCACACTCTGTAGTTTAATTTGTGAAATTACTAATACATCACTTCCTCCTTCTTGCCAACAGTATATCACTGAGTAAACTGTGTTGTAACATTAATTAGATTTTAAAAGGTGTTTTGCAAAAGTATTTAAATTCCTGTGGAGATGTTTAAAGATACTTTGAAGTATCACAAACTTTAGACTTAGAAATGTTAGTATTGCAATTATTTTATCCAGCCTATTGAGATATTCTTGACATATAACATTGTGTAAGTTTAAAGTGTACAATGTGCTGATTTGATACACTTATATATCGCAAAATGATTACCACAATAGCATTCATTAGCTAGCACCTCCATCGTATCAGATCATTGCCACTTCTTTTTGTTGTGAGAATATTTAAGATGTACTCTCGTAGCAACTTTCAAGTACATAATACAGTATTGTTAACTATAATTATCACGCTGTGCATTAAATCTTCAGAATTTATCTTCTAACTGGAAGCTTGTACCCTTTGACCAATATCTCCCCCATTGTCCCAATATCCCAGTCCTTGGTAACTACCATTCTATTCTGTTTCTATGAGTTTGGATTTTTTTTTTTTTTGATTTCACATCTGTCTTGCTCTGATTTGTTTAACTTAGTGCAATGCCTTCAAGGTCCATTCGTGTTGTTGCAAATGGCAGAATTTCCTTCTGTTTCATGGTTGAATAATATTCCATCGCATATTTATACATCTCCTTTATCCATTGATCCACTGACGGACATTTAGGTTGTTTCCAGATCTTTGCTATTGTGCATAAAACTGCAATAAAAATGGGAGTGAAGATATCTCTTCAAGATCCTGTTTTCATTTCCTTTGGGTATATACCCAGAACTGGGATTGCTGAATCATATGGTAGTTCTATTTTTAATTTTTTGAGGAACCTCCATACTGTTTTCCACTGGCTGCATTACTTACATTTCCATCAACAGTACATGAGGGTTCTCTTTTCTCCAAATCCTTGCCAACACCTGTCATCTGTCTTCTTGATGATAGTCATTCTAACAGGTGTGAGATGGTACTTCATTGTGGTTTTGACTTGCATTTCCCTGATGATTAGTGATATTGAGCATCTTTTCATGTTCCTGTCAGCCTTCTGTATGTCTTCTTTGGAAAAATGTCTATTCAGTTCTTTTATTTTTAATTGGATTTGTTTTCTGGCTATTGAGTCATATGAGTTCTTTATATACTTTGTATATTAACCATTTATCATATATATGCTTTGCAAATAATGTCTTCCATTCCATAGGCTGCACTTTCATTTTGTTGATTATTTCTTTTGCTGTGCAGAAGTTTTTTATTTTGATGTCATCTGATCTATTCATTTTTGCTTTTATTGATTTTTGGTACCATATCTAAAAATAGTTGTCAAGACCAATGTCAAGATTTTCCCCTATGTTTTCTTAGGAGTTTTACAGTTTCAGGTCTTATATTTAAGCCTTTAATCCATTATGAGTTAATTTTTGTGAGAGCTGTAAGATAGGGGTCCAATTTCATTTTTCTACCTTTGGTTATCCCAACACCAATTACTGAAGAGACTCTTTTTTCTCCATTGAATCTTCTTAGTAGCTTCCTTATCAAATACTGGTTGATCATAACTGGGATAGCTTATTTCTGAGCTCTAATTCTGTTCTGGTCTATTGTTTTGATTACTATGCCTTTGCAGTATAGTTTGAAATCAGCAAGTATGACTCCTCTGGCTTTGTTCTTCTTTCTCAGGATTGCTTTGGCTACTTACGGCCTTTGGGAGTTACACAAATTTTGTGATTGTTTATTCTAGTTCTGTGAAATACACCATTAAAATTTTGATAGAGATTGTACTGAATCTATAGATGACTTTTAGTATGGACATTTTAATGTTAATTCTTCCAATCCATGAACATGGGCTATCTTTCCATTTGCTTGTATCTCCTTCGATTTCTTTCATCAAAGTTTTGTAGTTTTCAGTGTACAAATCTTTCAGCTTCTTGTTTAAATTTATTCCTAAGTGCTTTATTATTTTTAGTGCCATTGTAAATGGAATTGTTTTCATTATTCTTTTTTCAGGTATTTCATTGTATGTTGATTTTATATCATGCAATTTACTAATTTCATTTTTTTTTTGGTGGAACCTTTAGGGTTTTCTGTATATAAAATCATATTCTCTGCAACAAAGATAATTTAACTTCTTTCTTTCTATTAAATACCTTTTTTTCATTATTTTGCCTCATTGCTCTGGCTAGATTTCCAGTACTATGTTGAATAAGAGCGGTGAGAGTGGACATCCTTGCCTAGTTCCTGAACTTAAAGGAAATGCTTTCAGTCTTTCACCACTGAGTATATTAGCTGTAAGCTTGTACTACATGGCCTTTATTATGTTGAAGTATATTCCTTCTATACTCAATTTAAGAGTTTTTATCATGAAAGGATGTTGTATTTTGTTAAATGCTTTTTCTGCTTCTCAAGATAATCACGATTCTTACCTTTCATTATATTAATGTAATGTATCACATTTATTGATTTGCATGTTGAAATTTCTTGTATTTCAGAGATAAATCCTGCTTGATGATGATGTATGACCCATTTAATGTAATGTTGAATTCAGTTTGCTACTATTTTGTTGAGAATTTTTGCATTTATACTTTTTTTTTATTATTCTATATATTTCAGGTATACAGCATTATAATTCAGCATCTGCATCTGCACTCTTCAAAGTGATCACCACCACAACTCTAGTTACCATTCTTTACCATACAGTTTGACTTCTTTCACCATTTTTGCCATCCCACAACCCCTTCCCTCTCTGGTAACCACTAATCTGATCACTGTATCTGTGAGTCTGTTTTTATTTTGCTTGTCCATTTGCTTTGTTTTTCTAGATCCCACATATGAGTGAAATGATATGACATTTGTCTTTCTCCATCTGATTTATTTCACAAAGCATAAAATCTTCAAGGTCCATCCATGTTCTCATAGACAGCAGCAGTTCATTCTTTCTGATGGCTGAATAATACTCCGTTGTGTGTGTGTGTCACATCTTCTTTATCTATTCATCCACTGATGAACACTTAGGTTGTTTCCATACCTTGACTATTGTAAATAACTCTGCAATAAACATAGGAATGCATGTAAGTTCAAATTAGTGTTTTCACATTCTTTGGAAATGCCAAACAGTGGAATAGTTGGGTCATGTGATAGGTCCATTCTTAATTTTTGAAGGGTCGCCATACTGTTTTTCATAGTGGCTGCACCAACA